TCTCCATTAGGCTGATCTTGTGGTAAGGGCAAGGGATGCTTCAGATTGTAATGGTCAAGCTTCTGACAGGCTTTTAAATTGCACCATACAGAGGCTGCATATGCAGCCCAGCTAGGCAAAATTGATTCAGTATTCAATAGGCAAGAGGTTCAGGCTGTCCATATTGCACATACACATTTTAGGTACAGTATTCAAGGACACTGGGCTATTATTATAACAAAATTTTTAAAGATGGGTATTCAATAAAACATATATTTTTTTATCTTTACAATCAAATATTTGGATACTTCAAAGATGATTTAAATTTGTTGGGACAAAAAAAGAAGTTTGCGTGTTTTACATCAAATCACCAACTGAGTAAAGGCGACAGTAATTTTTTCAAGATGCGAGTTTATGTAATGCCCTTGTGAGTTTTTAGCATCCTCATACAAAATGGATGACAAGTTACAGGGCAAATAAATGAACAACAACAAACTGCCGAACACAGAGCCACAAGAGACTATCTTCTGATCTCATCTATCTCCCACAATTCAGTGCGGTGGTCCGGCGCGGCAGAGCGCCAGTCAGACCGGTGAATCTCGGCGCAGCCTTATCTCTCCGCGGTTGAGGAGGAAACGGAGGTCCTTTAAAGGGCTGAGGTCATTTCCTCTGCCTCCGGGCTCTGGCAGGAAAAATAAAATGTCTCCATTCGGTCAGCCCTGCTTTATTTCAAATGCCGCCACTGCCTTTTAAGAGACCCTTGTGGGCATGGATGGCAAATGAGCGGTTTCGGGTTCTCGCAGTCGATTCCTTTTCTCTCCCCCTCTGCCATCCTCAATACCCCATTCCATCTGTGATGCAAACCCCCAAATCTCTGCTATATTTCTACAGTAAATGTGAAAGTGCAGAGACAGATATATAGATAGAGTATGAGAGGGAGGGAGAAAAAACAGAGACAAAGAGGGAAGGAGAAGCAGTGTGAGAGTGCGGAGGAGCATGAGAGCGAGAGAGATGAAGAGCTGAATGCCTCCTCTTACCCACAGCGCTTGACAACCCTAAAGCCCTCTCACAACTTCCTGTTCCCATTTCTCTCTGAACTGGGCTACATCCAAAACGTGTGTGTGTGTGTGTATTTATCGGCATGCACAGTTTATATGCTTCTGTTGTGTACCCTTGGAACAGTGTTCGTGTGTGTGTGTGCCTGCCTGGAAGCCTGTGTGTGTGTCATAGAGTAAGGTAGGGAGCGAGGGAGTGAGTCAGCGCTGGAAAGATAGAGAGGCTCATTGAAAGGCCTGCGTGGTGCGGTGGTGGAGGAGAGCAGCCAGAACAGGCAGACAGGCAGGCAGGCACACATGCTGTGATGTTAGAAAGAGGATTGATAGATCTGTTGCATGGCCACTGCTGCTGCAAGAGCCTAACGCACCTCGGGCAGATGGATGGGGAGTGCGTGCAGGGGTACAATCAGTCTTTGGGTGTGCGTGAGTGTGCCCTTTGTGTTCGAGTGCGTGGGAGAGGTGTATTACATGGTCTTAGTGTGTAGTTTTTGTGATGTGGTACTTCACACAGGGCTTTACAGCACTTGCTCGTTCACTGAGGGTAAAATGTATAGATAGATGTACTGTATAGCAGAGGAGAAACAATATGTGCTAAGGTTTGTGTGTGGGCGCTGTACCTGTGTTGGTTTATGTTTATATGCACAGTAAAGTACGCATTTCCCTAACACCTGACCTGTAAGTACAGAAAGCGTCATCACTGTTTTTCTGCTTTTCCACAACAGACAGCCTCCACTCCCACGCTCACTATTCCATCTCACATATCATCAGCAATCATCTTCCTATCATCTCTCTCATTCTTTTTATAGGTGTTTTATCGACGCTTATAAAACACTTCTGCTACACAGAGGCATTCATCAGCATTTAACATTAACGAATTAAAGAATAGTGAAATTCTATATATAGAATAGTAGTAGACTAACATAGACATATGCATGCCTACAGTAGCTATACACTAATCCAGGCTGTAGGCTCAAGGAACAAGCTGTGGTGGCATCTAACTTGTAAACCTGCACAATAACGCTGTAGCTTATGTAAATGATATAACCACTTTTTTAAAGCTTTTTCCAAGAGATGTCGAGGAGGACCCTGTAGGACCTGCTCCCTGCTGAAATATAGCCATAAAACAACATTTGCTGTGTATGGGAGGTAGATGCCTAAAACTCTTTTCAACAAGATTTTAGTGCAGTTCTAATAGTCAGCTGCTTCAACAATCAACTTTAAAAAAGAAACCAAAAATCTACAAGCCTGTGTTCCATTAAGTAATTTTTTGTAACTATGTCAATTTTTGATTTTTTTTTTAAAATAATGTATTTCATCTGATTATGATGCAACAATCATGGATTGACATTTTTCCTACTTATAATCAAAATTGAAAGCTTATCAGATGCCCAAACACTGCATACCAAATAATTATACTATGAGACCGGATTTCTTTTTGGGGTAATAACACCATTCATGTTACAAAATAATCTACCAGGAATGTGTGCTTGTACATATTTGATTGGCCAACGACGCACCCCGCCAGACGACGTCATATTGTGTTGTGGAAAAAGTTTGAGCTAGTTTCAACTTTTGCGTTGGGCTAACCCACAGTTTTTTGCCAGAGCCATTTGCATCTGCAGCCCGGCTGTGTCGATGGAAAGCACATATTGAAAATTAATGAGAGGGCTGTGTTTTTTCATACACTGATCATCTCAGTATGGATATGGCCTAGTGTTGAATATACTCAATCTGTCTTGCCTCTACTTGTATTATATTTTTGTGAATTTTAATATACCCTATTAGCAGAATAAATCATATCCTGCCAGTAATGTATATGATGATCACAATAAAGGATATACTGTAACAACAGAATATAATTTCACAATATTATTAAAATGTGTTTCAGAAATGATTTTTACAATACATAAAGTCAAACTAAGCCAAAAGTTTCTGAATTAATAAAATGAAAGAGTGAGTAGAGAAGTTAGTCAGTGAGTTTGAGATGTGTTGCTCTCTTTGTTTTCCGCGAGATGATTGTCGATCTATAGCTCTCTCCCAGAGATGACTGGTCCTGACCTCTTCTCTATCCCATTTTTCTCACGTTGTTCTGGCGGTGCGCTCACTGAGCTGAACTAAACACAAATAACACAAGGGGGAGGAGAGGAGGTGGAGCAGGAGAGGAGACGGAGGAGAGGGATGCTCGCTGTGTGATGGTGGCACGTGGTGATAAGCTGCCGCTCTGACATTTAAACAAGTGTCAGGGTCAGGGGGTCAGATGAGTGGAAACAATGCGTGACTAGATCAGGGCGATGTGCCGATTTCGCTTTGTTACCAGGGGCGCAGATGCACGGCAGCCCATCAGGCTTCAATACACCCACTTGGATTGGTTTATGCTTTGATACCTGCTCACCTTTCAGGAGAGATATGTAAGGGAGAGATGTGGAGTTGTAGCAGCAGAAATTATGTTTTTGTGCAGTTTCTCTTCTCCTCAACTTGTCTTTCAAACACTTAAGAACTATATTTTTCTCCTCAAGGTTACTCAGCCCCTCTCCTCACACTCTTTTTTCTCCTCTCTGTCCCTCTTTCTCACTGGGTGCAGAGGAGGACTATCCTTTGCAATCATAAAATACGTCTGCTTACTTTCGCTTCTTGGCATTTCAGCAGCGCTGCATTCCAGGAGGGTGACTTATGGGAAACATTGTCTCTCACATAACACAGGGCTAAGCTGCGCTGTTTTTTTTGTGCTGTGCATAACTCAGGTCAGCTGGACACAGAGAGGGATAACCTGTAATCGAGCAAAGTCTATTTCTTTGATCGCTGAAATTGAAAGAGGTTTACCTCTTCTTTTTTTTCTGTTTTTCCAATCTCATTCTACCTAACCTCGCTCAGCTCTGTCTTTCCCCTCTTTAATCCACCCTGTGCTGTGTCCTGTGACCTGTGGATACACCCTTCCTACTAACATGAATCCAGTTGTCTTTAATAGCCCGTAGGACTAACAAAAAAAGGACCTGTCAAGATAATCAGCCCTTTTTTCCTATCCTCTAAAAGACAGAGGTTATTTTCCTCAACATTTTGACCCAGAGCATGCCTGGCAGGATAAACTCAGGTGTGGAGCAGGGTTAAGAAGGCGGCTTCACCTTGAAAGGCCACACTTCAGAGCCCGGGAAACCACAAAAAGCAATTAAAAGTATTGATGGAACTTCAATAGCTCTTAAACAGTGCTGCCAGACACCTCGGGGCAAGTAGCACACTAATCTTTTTTTTTCTCCTCATCTCTGTATCGCTCCGTTCTCTCCCTCTCTTGCGTGCATTCACTCTTTCTTCACCGAAGACTAAGCTGGTCTTGATCATTACCAACTGATTGCAATACAAAAGAAGGAGAGCGTGTGAAATGTATTTACAGCCATGCGAGGCAGGTGGCTGAAGTGAAAATAGAGCCAGGACCCCAAGAAGGTGAGTGTGACAATGATAGTAATTAAAGTTTATCTAATCCTAGCTAGCTTGTTAGACCTCTAATTGGTCCAGTACGTGTGTATGTTCAAGCATGTAAATGCGTGCAGCGTGTGCGGTGTGAAAACAATTTCAAAACGAGCCCCTAATATCATCGCCGCGTGTGCGCACCATTTACTGTGCAGACACTAATGGACCTTTCACAGAAACACACTTTCCAAAAGATGGTCTTCCATATCAAAACAGGAAATCGAAGAGAAGATAGGGAGGGGCTGAGACAGTTTCTGTCTGCCTGCTTATCCTCTGAAGCAGGGCAGCGCCATCCAGGAGCAGGTTGTTTACCCGAAGCTTTCCCGCAGTGTTAAGCCAGCTCCTCGCTAACTCACTGATTTACGACGCAAGGCTTCCTCGGCTGATGTCTAAATTTACGCGAGGGCTTGGATTGCTGTTCCTGTGACAAGACACAGTCTAAAGAGTGATAGCTGGTGCACTAAAACAAAGTGGGTGTACAAGACAAACAAACTGATGACTTACCTTTGCACTGGTTGGTGTTCTTATCCAGAATGGCCTTGGTTGACACTATTTTTCCATACCTGCAAAGACAGAGGAATTAAATTTAGTGTTTTTGACACTACAGGACCTTTGGCTGTTGGAGCAGTTCACTAAGATTGCCATCCCGTGTTTAAATATATGTATTTTCCATACTCTGTGCCATGTAGTTGCAACTAGCAAATTGCAAAGTGGCACGAATGTCAAAAGCCACCAGAAAGAGAAATCACTTGAGGTTAATAACATTATGTTTATGGCTGACTTCAAATGAATGTGCAGCCCTCTGACATTTGAGTGAGTCACTGAACATTTTCAAAAGGTCTAAAAGCACAGTGAACGAACTCAAAAGTTAAGTTGTTTCATTAGTATACAGTTCAACCTATTCAATTCTGATAAATTCATTTTACATCGGAAAACTACACCATGAACAAAAAGCCCAGACTCTCACCAGTGAGATAACCCAATAACAATACTCATTTATTATATTGCTTAATAATCTGGTTCAAAAAGCTTTGAAACAGCGTGGTAATACTGATAACACAACATCTTTTGGCTATTAATTAGCACTTGAAAGAGTGAACAGATTCTTAATGCCTTCTTGCATTTTGGCAATTTCTTGAAATAAAACAAAAAGCAACCATGGAATTCGTGATATAGCCTATTTGGTAACAACATACTGGATTGATAAGTTGCAAACATTTAAATGAAAAGGTCTCAATGAAGACTTGTCTCTCAGTGTGATTTTCAAGGAAATTCAATCAAGGATTTAATTGAATATCAGTGTGATATTGTGCGTCAGGTGAAATGAATGATTATTTTCATAATATTGTTCCCCTCATCTGGGTGATGAGACGGATCTTATCAGCCTGATATTGCCTCAGATAGCCTTCTCATGTAAGCTTTCTTCTCATGTTCTTGTGAGTAAGGCTCCTTTAACCAGATTTAGCCTCTAACGTATACATACATCTATACATTGAACATATTTATTATTTCTGATGTTTTTTGACATTTTTAAGATTGGTATTTATTGACTATTGTGATTATTATGTACTTGTTGTTTTCGCAATGAGATTTTTAGGTTTAATAAAATGTAGCTCCCTGAAAAACTGAAAAGTATAACATTTCTTTATTGCATACTTCTGTATGCACAGTGGGTTGTATGATTCTTTTGGAACTCGAGTGACCTTACTGACGGACTGACAGTGAGTTATTCTATCCGCTTGTCTCAGCTAAAACTGCCACACGCTGCATTTTGTGCATGGCGAGAAGCACTTTATCCCTGAAAGTACAGTATATGTGTGTCTGCATGCATGTCTTTATTTGCATGCATGTGTGCAGCTGGGCCCTCGCTTGTGCAATTACACTTGTGTGTGATGTATACATGCCTGTGTATAAATACATAAGTGAGAACAATATCCTGTGTGTTGAACACACATCACAATGAGTGAGCAGAGGAAAAACAGCTATGCTCTGCACGTTTGCACACACACATCCCCCCCATACATGCATAAACACAGACACAGACACACACAGACACACACACACACACACAAACATTCTGTAGGGAAGAAGCAGTGGTGCATCCCGGCCCATATTTCACCAGCAGGGGATAATTGTGCCATTTCTCAACGAGTGGCGGATACTCTATTTACTGCATGCTGTGGTGGGGTGGGTGGTGGCTATGAACTGATGAGCTCCGAGAGGAAAACTACCAGCTCACACACACAAATACAGATAGCATATGAGTACACACACACACACACACACACACACACACACACACACACACACACACACACACACACACACACACACACAAATATGCACACACAGAGACAGCACTCACCAATCAGTGGATTGTCTCTCTTCTGCAGATAAACAGGCCATTTTAGCTATAGGGATCCATAATCTGCTTCAACAGAACAGAACTAACGTGCAAATGTTTGATCACACCGAGACACTCTCAAGCATAAGTACACAAGATGAACATGGAACAGTGAGTGTTCATTTGATTAGAGAACATGCAGAGCTTGGTTAGCAACTGCAGTATTTCAGTTTTTGTTGAGAAACGAACTGGAGCAGGACGTACAAGTAAGAATTAGAGATATTGGTATAAACTCTAATCATTGCATATGCAATTTTGTAGCACAATAGAGACCTATATTGAGATTTTTTTGAGAAACTATTTATCGATAAAATAACCAGACGTGAATAAAGACCTGGAAAAGATTTTGACATATGTCAATAATAAGACTGAACCAAATCAGAGATTATATTCAATCTTATCTCACAGTATTGATGTTATATTGATTTATTGCACAGCTCTACATGCAAGCCACTGAGCTAGCTAGTATGATTGTTCCTGTATACCTATCTGTTTATTTGCACACAGGTGTTTGCCCTGCTTTAGTACTTAAGTGAAAAAATTTGTATGCTTTCAGTCTGGGAAGCAGTTAAAAAGCTCAGTGCTTTTGGCACAAATTGGGGGAAAGTTCTCATTAAAACTTTGTTTGGACTCTGGGGAAGCAGGAGACAGTAGCTTTCCAATGCCAACTCATCACTGCTTGCCTCATTAAATGTTAAAGATGGCTCATCAATGCACCCTTCCCGCGGTCCAAATACACACCACAAAGACACTGCAGCGAGATGAAAAGGCAAGGTGGAAGGAGCCAGCTTTGTGCCCATAATGGAGACATATTGGAGACGGATGGAGAATGTGATCAGCATGTTCATGTATGTGACGTGTGTGTGTGTGTGTGTGTGTGTGTGTGTGTGTGTGTGTGTGTGTGTGTGTGTGTGTGTGTGTGTGTGTGTGTGTGTGTGTGTGTGGCTGTGGACGACCCTGCTGGCGGCTCCTTCGCCTCTCTGCCAGGCAGGCCTGGGGAGGCTTTGATGTGACAGAGGCAGTCCCTGTGAAGCGCAGGTTTAACACTGTGATGCTGTGGCCGGGATGCAGAGCCTGTCTCCACTAATCCTATTTCAATCACTCTCGCAGCCTCTTATCTCTGACTCCGCTGGCCCTCGGCCCTCCCTCCTCCTCACAAATCTTCTCCTCCCTCTCGCTCACTCTCTCTCTCTCTTAATGTCTCTTTACCATCCTTCTCCATTTCTCTTTCCTGTACTGTATCCTTCATGTCTCTCCTTTTGTCTCTCTCTTCCTCCTCCCTCCTAATAGGAATCCCATGGCAATCATTCTGATGCAATATCGGATCAACCCTAAGAAAAGAAGATGCCAGATATGAAACCGCCTATAAAAAAATAGGGGCTTCTTGAGCTATTTTAGGCTGATGAAAATGCACAAATTGTGGTAGATGTAAAACATGTCATTCGTTTGACAGCTGTCTGGGCACTGAAATGCGATAAAATTGAAGCTGAGCCGAAAGCTCAGCCACGTTTTTTAAGAGGGCAGCTGCATGCACAAGAATGACATCCCAGCGCTGCATTTCTTTCGTTTCTCGCTCTCTTGCTGGATGAAACGATCCAGGCGTATTCCATTTCCGTCATCAGAGATGGGAAAGTGAAGTGGCTCTTTGCTGTATGTGGGCAGGGAGAGAGCTGGCCAGAACCACAATACGTCACTGTGGTGTTGTTGCTACATAAGAAAGCACAGTGCTGGAATGGATGAATGGACCACCCAAGTGTTGAGCTGAGACCTTGCCCTCAGCCTTTGGACACCTCTCCAAAGGTTTGTAACTGCGTGTTTGAGTCATTACATAACCTGGATGAAACTGAAACTAGGATCTAAGATGCCTTTTTATATATGCTTGGTAAGGTAGTATGTAAATGTACTGTATCTGCATATGACTGTGCTTGCAGATGAAGAATATAGTATAGCATTTGACTAAACTGGTTCCCACTGTTTGATGGAGTGAAAAGAAGAATAGAAAAAAGCAAAAAGAATGAAACACATGCTGACAGGGTTAGGCTTTACTGTGTTGAGCTGTGAGACTAAATTGTATAAAAGCAGAAAACTCTGCTTCAGGCATGTTCAGCACCTTTGGAGCACCTGTGCAGGGGGATGGGGCAGGTGCAAAAGGCACACTACGGAGAACAATAACTTAAATTTATCACCTCTTGTAGGCTTTTATGCAAAATGATTAGCAGAATGTAGATACTGTAGCTCAAAAAGAAAAGGTGCCGCATTGACAATTCTACTCATCTTAGGAGCACCTGTATCAGACACCCACCATCCAGATTTACTATTTGCTCTGGGAAGCAAATATTATCCAGAGGGGTTTCATAGGCTCAAGACGTACATTGTTTTATTAAAAAAATGTGAAATGGTTACACCACTGCCCTTGTCAGTAGCACAGAGCAGCACTGCAATATATTATTTCTATCAATTAGTTCAGGTAGTGACAACCTTTACAGCAGTTTCCTACAAATGAATAACTGTAACAAGTATTAACTGACAAAACAGTAATAATAGGTTTGCAGGATGAGCCAATCTTCAGAAAAGTCTTGTTATTTAAGACATCAATTGTATTTAAAAAAGCTTGAGCACGGAGTCCGTTTTAGTACAAGGAACAGCTGCAGGCTGAACATCTTCATGACATAACAGTTTATAGCTTGTGTTTTCAAATATGGAATAGGCATGGCCAAGTCACCAATGTTCTATTTACTACTGGTTTTTATACAGTACTATGTATAACAAGCCTTTTGTTAACCTCAGTCATCAGTAAAAGTATTTGCACAAATAGTGAAAATTCCACCTATTCCAGTAACACTCCAGATCCTACAGTTTTCAGAGGATGTGTTTTATTTTGTTTATTAAGTCTTTGATGCCAATGCAAGAGACAGGTTTCACTGTGGCAGAGAGAGAGGACAGAGCAGAAGAAAAAACATGGAAAAGAAACATGACTTCTTTATACTTTTATATCAAAGATAAAAAGGAGAAACAGGATGCAAAAAGAGCAAAATATAAAGAGGATGACAGAAATGAAAAAGCTCAAACAGCACATACAAACACTCAGGCATTCATACAGATCGAAAAAAGTAAAGAAATAGAAAGGAGTATGTTGTATGAATTTTGTATGTGTGTACA